ATAATAATAATAATAAAGAAAATGCAGAGAACAGAAAATAATTTTAAAATAATGTATAGTTAGTACAGTCTCAAGGAAAAGATACTGAATTCATAAAACAAGAACAGGAGGCTCTGGAAAAGAACATTTAGAGAACAAGAAAGAGAACTTGGAAATGTAATAGCAGAAATATTAAAATTTGACAATGTTAAAATTTGTAAGGTAAGTTGAAGAAATTTCCCCGAAAGATCTAGAATCTCTAACATCTTTCTAAGAAAAATTCCAGAAAGAAAAGAACAGAGAAAACAAAGGGAAATTGTCCATGAAATTATTATAAGAAATTTTTCTAGAAATGAAGAAATTTCCAGATTGAAGGACCAGTAGAATAATCAATGCAATTAATTAAAAACTACCCCCACCAGTATAACCATGGTTATTTCAGAACACTTGGAATAAAGAAAAGATCCTTACAGCTTCCAAAGAGGAAAAAAAGTCTTAGCAAAATAGCAAAAGTCAGAATGGCATCAGATTCTCAAGAGCAACCCTTGAAACTTGAAAGGTAAAGTGACTTCAAAATTCTGAGGAAACAAATGGCAGTTCTACATTTAATCTTTTGAGGAAACGCCATACTGTTTTCCATAATGGCTGCACCAGTCTGCATGTCCACCAGCAGTGTACTAGGGTTCCCTTTTCTCCACATCCTCTCCAGCACTTCTCATTTGTTAATTTGTTGATGGTAGCCATTCCAGCAGGCGTGAGGTGATACCTCAGTCATTTTAATTTGCATCTCTCTGATGATCAGTGACTTTGAGCATTATTTCATATGTCTGTTGGCCTTCTGTATGTCTACTTTAGAGAAGTGTCTATTTAGGTCCTTTGCCCATATTTAAATTGGATTGTTTACCTTCCTTTTGTTAAATTGTATGAGTTCCTTATATATTTTGGATAATAACCCCTTATCAGATGTATCATTGGCAAATATGTTCTCCTATACAGAGGGTTTCCTTTTGTTTTGATGGTTTCTTTTGCTGTGCAGAAGGGAGCCTTTGCTGTGCAGAAGCTTTTTACTTTGACGCAGTCCCATTTGTTTATTTTCTCGTTTGTTTCCCTTGCCCTAGGAGATATATCAGCAAACATATTGCTCTGAGAGATGTCTGAGATTTTGCTGCCTATGATTTCTTCTAGGATTTTATGGTTTCATAACTTACACTTAAGTCTTTTATCCATTTTGAGTTTATTCTTGTGTATGATGTAAGTTGGTGGTCTAGTTTCATTTTTTTGCATATACCTGTCCAATTTTCTCAACACTATTGAAGAGACTATCTTTTTTTTTTTTAATTGCTTAAAGCATTACAAAGGGTATTACATATGTGTCCTTTTTTTTTCCCCCCCGCCCTTGACAATACCCCGGCTTCCCCTACCCTCCAGTGTCTTATGTCCATTGGTTATGCTCATATGCATGCATACAAGCCCTTCAGTTGATCTCTTAACCCCCTCCCTCCTGCCCTCCAACCCTCCCCGGCCTTCCCGCTGCAGTTTGACAATCTGTGTGAGGCAGCTCTGCCTCTGTATCTATTATTGTTCAAAAGTTTATAATGGTCGAAGAGACTATCTTTACTCCATTGTATGCTCTTGCCTCCTTTGTCAAATATTAATTGTGATCCCACTTATAGGAATATATCCTAAGAAACCCAAAACACCAATCAGGAAGAATGCATTCACCTGTATGTTCCTAGCAGTGCAATTTTCATCAGCCCAAGTGCCCATCAGATGAGTAGATAAAAAAAAAAAAAGCTGTGGCACATTTACACCATGGAGTACTATGCAGCAGTAAAAAAGAAGGATCTCTTATCCTTTGAGACAGCATGGAGGGACCTGGAGAGTATTATGCTAAGCAAAATAAGCCAGTCAGAGAAAAACAAGTATCACATGATCTCACTCATATGTGGAATCTAAAGAACAAAATAAACTGAGAAACAAAATAGATCCAGAGACATAGAAACATAGAACAGACTGTTGATTCTCAGAGGGAAGGCAGGGGTGTGTGGTGTGTGGGAGGAGATTAACCAAAGAATTTATATGCATATATGCATAACCCATGGACACAGACAATAGTGTGGTGAAGGCCTGGGGTGGGGTGGGGGCAGATGTGGGCTAGAAAGGGTTAGAGGGGAGAAAAAGGGGACACTTGTAATACTTTCAACAATAAAGATAAAAATTTTTAAATTCTGTAAAACATGATTTCCAATTAGGAATTCTAAGATCCGCCAAACCATTGCTCAATTGCAAGCGTAAAATAAAGACCTTTTAAGACAGGGTCTCAAAGATTTCTCTCACACCCTTTCCTTGGTAAACTACTAGAGAACGTGTTTCACCCAAATGGGAGTATAATCCAAGGAGGATTATAGGACACAAAGAATAGGAGATTCAGAGAGGACAAAGGTGAGGGGACTTCCAAGGATAGTGGTGAAATGAAGTTCTAGGCTGACAGCTGTGCATAAGGTCTAGAGCAGCGATTCTCAACCTGTGGGTCGTGACCCCTTTGGGGGTCGAACGACCCTTTCACAGGGGTCGCCTAAGACCATCCAAAAACACATATATAATTACATATTGTTTTTGTGATTAATCACTATGCTTTAATTATGTTCAATTTGTAGCAATAAAAATACATCCTGCATATCAGATATTTACATTACGATTCATAACAGTAGCAAAATTACAGTTATGAAGTAGTAACAAAAATAATTTTATGGTTGGGGGTCACCACAACATGAGGAACTGTATTAACGGGTCGAGGCATTAGGAAGGTTGAGAACCACTGGTCTAGAGTGACAGACCAGGCTGCAGCAGGGGGACAGAGGGCTCCAGAGATGACCTGATATGCTCAGATGTACTGTTAAGCAACACTGCTCTGTAGAAGAGCTTTGGGATATGTTAATGATAAGTATAAAAGAACCCCAGGAAAACAAACAGTTGTATAAGAAACGATGTGGGCTCAGGTATAAATAATGCTTATAGAGTTCTAAGTAAACATTGAACACCGATTTCACCAAAATGGTGATGATATCACTGTATTGAAATGATAAGCGGAGGGAGGAGAGGGAAGGGAAAGAGAGCTAAATCCTATCTGCCATTATAAATGTCAAATGATAATATCTAAAATGAAAAATTTGGAAATAGCAGTATAAGCATGTTAATTTAAAAATCCGAGTTAAATATCAAAAGAAACATCTGAGAGTTAAAAGTAGTTCCTTCTGAAGAGCAGTTTCTAAGAGTGAAGATGGATAGGACAAAGATCCTGCTTTTTACGAAAAGCCATAAACTATTTGATGATTTCGAGTGTTAAATTGTTTTATTGTTTTTGTTAAATTCTTTTAAAACTATATGATTGTCAACATACAGTACACACAAATATATATATATATTCATAGAGATACATAATACACGCATGTTTACTGTATATTGTGTAAAATGTATTATAATGATCAAAACGAAATTAAAAACAAAATGAAAAACATGCCCATGAGAAAATCAGATATTTATATTTATGTTTATTGTTTATTCTTTAATTTTTTTATTGATTTCAGAGAGGAAGGGAGAGGGAGAGAGAGACATCAATGATGACAGAGAATCGTTGATCAGCTGCCTCCCGCATGCCCCACACTGGGGATCGAGCCCACAACCCAGGTATATGGCCTGACTGGGAACCAAACCCGTGACCTCCTTACTCCTAGGTCAATGCTCAATCACTGAGCCACACCAGCCAGGCCTGTTTAATGATATTTATATCTCAACTGTAACATTCAAGATAGTTAAAACTGTATGATCTGGATGCTAAAAATAATTCAAAAGAAGAGTTATAATTTCCTAAGGTCACCACTGTGAAAAAAAAAAATCTGAATGTACATGTTTTAGTATATTTGCTCTAAATAATTGCCTCAGGAATTTACGGTGAAAAATCAATCACTAGTTAAAACTGATATGCATTCGGAAAAAAATAAATCATTAGGTCACAATGGATGACAGGCTGAACCAGTCAGCAAAGTTGTAACTGCTTGAAAGAGCCAGTGTAATTCTAGAAAGGCAAGATTACATAACACGGAAGTGAGACAATCACCTCATTATGCTCAACACATTATACTCTTACTAAACAATCATGCTCAGATCTGGATCTCACAGCTTCAGAAAGATACAGACAAGCTGGAGTGGACTCAGATATAAGTTAAAAGCAATTAAAAAGCTCAATACCAAGACGACCTATGGCAACATCCAAGGAAGCTCCTAGTCTGGAGACAAAAAGGCAGGGAGTAAACTGTCTCCCAAATGCCACCCAATAGGATAACCCAACAAAAACCTGAGGACCTCTGCTACAGATGGAGAGATGGGGAGAGAGATGGGGAGAGAGATGGGGGTGGGGGGGAGAGAACGCACGCTAGTGTGCCTAAAATATAAAAGGAGGAACTTAAATTATAAATAACCGATTTTCAGAGTTCTGGTTGCCCACAATAGAGATAAATGACCAAAGACAAATAATAGTCTCCTTCTTTAGAGATCTTGGAGAGGCAGAGAGAAAGGGAGAGGACTCTATCTCACATTTTTTCCATAAGGCACCCACAGGAATGCCAGGGAATAAACTAAAATTTATTGAATTCAAGGTTTAGGAATTACACAAAGAAAGGAAAACCAGTTTTATCTTTATTTACAAAAATGTACCAAGTAAAACCTTAAAGTTGCCTTGTTACCACAAATCCATTGAAAAATTAGGCTGCAAGGACCACTTCCTTGCTATAACTAATCTTTCACAACTGTACATAAGTAGCCTAAAACCTCAGAAGTTTGCTTAATTTGCAAGTCATCCGATGGCTGTTCCAGTTAGCCTGAAGTGTTTAATTTTTACCACTCAGAAAGTAATAAACAAACCATGAGAAATTAATTATTTGATCCAGCCCTACCTCCTTTTAGCTTAGAATTAACTGCTCCATTTTCCACAAACTGAAAAGCTGGACTTATTCCCTCTTTACCTTCAGTGCTGAGAAGAACATGTGGTCCACTGCCATAACTAAGGCTTTTAATCTTCTTTCCACATAAGGCTTCTAGCTTTTTGGGTGTAAGTGTACTCTGGTTATCTCCAGTTCCTAGACAGTTACTATAGTTCAGTCCAAATACAAAGACCTGGAAAACAAATAGTTCTGTTTGAGATGTTTGTCCTAAAGTTACACAAAGGCTCCCTTCTTCACCCTGAAAACGAGACACACTCAAGTTTAGTTTGACAGCTCGGTGGGTGGGAAGAGACTAAAAAAGTTATTAAGAAAAAGTCAACCTCTGCTGATGGTTAGGATATTGGCTATACTATGAAACCCAAAGAGTAGTAGGGGTGGAGTGGTATTAAATCAAGAAACTGAAAGAAAAGGCAAAGTATATCAAAGATACAGTCTTCTTGAATTTCAGGTTCTCTTATCCCTGACCTTTCTCCATCTTCAAAATGCATGCTTTAAAGCTCAATCCCAAAATAAGCCCTAAAATTAAACTCTGAATTTTAAGAGATTCTTTCTTACCTCATCATCTTCAGTAACGTACAGTGCTTCATTGGCTGAGGTGCCAAAGACACAGGCTTTCCGAATAGATGCAATTTCTTGAGGTGAGAGCAGAGTGAAGATTGGCCACTTTCCTACATCCACCATGACTCTGGCTTCAAGCAATTCCTATAAATATGCTGGCATCTCTGCTGTAACAAACAAAAAGGATTCCAAGAAAAAAATTAAACAACCACTAAACTAATTGTTAAAAGACACTGTTAATAAAATAAAACAAAAGCAAATTCCAGAATAAACTGTCCCCCTACCTTTGGTTAAACAGACTGCTCGCTTACCCCAGCAACGTGTGTAACCCTCCTCCACCTTCAGACCTGGGCCTTTTCCTATGATGGGAGGGAAACTTGCTAGAACCAGGTGACTTATGTAAGTCAGTGCTAATCTGTTACATACATGCTTACATGCAAGCTGACAGCAATAACGGAGGGAAGACAGGCAAACTGGACGAAACCAGGGTTTCTCATCGGGTATATTTTCTCCAGGAGGATGAGTGTCATGGTGATTGTGTGATTGTGTTTGTGTGTGTGTGTGTGTTATGAAAATGAGAATCATTATCTCTACCTCCTCACTCTCCCACTACCTCTGCCAGAATGCACTAAAAGACCCCACCCCTAGTGGAATATCACTGCCACACCGAGCCACTGTTAATAAAGGGAATGGGACACCCCTCATATGGTTTAGAGTGGCAAAAATATTAAGAAGCACTAGTTTAAAATTTACTGGATGAAACCATAAAATAAATCATTATGTTCTGATCCTAATTTATATGACCACATTTCATTTCCTACATTATATATAGACCATATTTCATTTCACATTGAGAAACATTATTTGAACACAGACAAGACAATTTGCCCTAAATCTGGTGCTGGAGGTGATGACTATAGCCTTTATACAAATAGCAATTAGCTTAAAAATACCCAATCCCAATAAAAAGTAGAGAGATGTATAAAACTAAAGTTGATCTGTTTAAGGAGTTTTACACAAAGAATCCTGGTCATGGCTCCAATTCTTCTAGGGTTAAAAAGTAATTCTACAAATTCCAGGGGGCTGCATGAGCACAAAACCCTATCATACCAAGTGAATTTCCATTTTGGCTCTCACCTCTGGAAACTGAAATAGAACCAAACAGTTGATAAATACAACCACAGTTTCCTACTCACTCTGTTCTCAGACCTCTAAATATAGCCAAGAGAGGCAGGCCCAAGACCAAGGTCCTGTTCTGGCTCCAGCATCTATGACAGCACCTAGAAAGCGAGCCTCAGAGCTTGAGCATGCTTAGCCAAGGCCTCAGTTTCCACCATCCACAGTGATTTTTTCCATCAGCGTCAATTTGGATGACAAAGATTGTGTTCCAGTTATGCCCCAAGTATCACACCACATAATCAATAAGCTTTAAACACTATTACCTGTCACTGCACAACCAGACTCCTGGAATGACATTTGAATATTCTGAAAATTGTGCACCCAAGGGTGTGTATGTGTGTGCGCACACACTTGCATATGTGTGTATGTTGGTGGGAACAGGTAAAGGGTGTGGGAAAGGGTAAAAACTAATATATAAATATGTTAAAATTTTTTGTTTCAAGTAGTACAAAACAGTATAGGAAAGTATATCTCCCTATCCTCCCCTCCTAGACCCTTTCCTCAAAGGCAACCACTGTTAGTAGCTGTTTTAACTCACTCCAAAGACAGTGTATACTTACATGAGCATTATATGTAAGTACGTGTGGAAGCTTTCCCACCCTACTTAACAGCACATCTTACAGGTCACTCTGTAGAGTTACTTCACTTTTCGATGGGACTATAGAGGATAACAATTTACCTGTTTCCACTGAGACATTTAAGTCACTTTCAGTCTTTGCTAACATGAACAATACTGCAATTATTGTTTGCACATATTATTGAATATACATGTCTTTTTATACATAAATTCCTAAGATAGTCTCCTAAAAATGTACTTGCCAGTTCAAAATTCAATAGCCAGTTTGCCTTTAATAGCTATTTCAAATGGTCCTCTACTGAAGTAGTACCAATATATAAGATAACCATCAATGTGTGGCAGCAACTGTTTACCCACACCCTTACTACACAGTGTATTATCATGATGTCTCAGTTTTGTTTAAACTTGAATTCCTCTTATGATGAGTGAAGTAGGGCATCATTTTTAGAAATAATCACAATTATAGCAACAATAACAAATGACATTTCCTGAGCACTCTGCACCAAGCACTGTTCTAAATAGTTTACATTTATTAATTCATTTAATCCTTACTTTAGAGACAAGGAAACCAAGGCAAAGAGATATTAAGAATTTGCTCAAACTAGTAAGCTGCAGAGTGAGGCCCTGAGCCAGGCAGTCCAGAGCCAGCATGTGTATTCTTCACCTCTCAGTCTCAGATGCTTAAGGGCCCACATACCATCCTTCTACATGAAGTCCCTATTTTTTCTACTAGACTGTTGTTCTTTTCTTTGTTCTACATTTATAAGTGTTCATTGTATAAGAAGAAGATTGTCTTAAATGCTTTTAGAAGTAACAAAAAGATGCCCCCCACAATGGACTTTGTGCCTCATACAAAACAGACAAGGAGTATCAAGAAGTAAAACAGTGTAGATGTCTATAAAGTAGAAAAACTCCAAGAAAATCCAGAAGCAAATTTTCCTAGAATATAAACCATATCAAAGTTAGGCTTCAAGTCTAACCAGTGTGGCTCAGTGGTTGAGCGTCAACCTATGAATCAGGAGATCACTGTTGGATTCCTGGTCAGAGCATATGCCCTGGTTGTGGGCTCGATCCTCAGTAGGTGCTGTGCAGGAGGCAGCCGATCAATGATTCTCTCTCATCATTGATGTTTCTATTTCTCTCTCCCTTTCCCTTCCTCTCTCTGAAATCAATAAGAACATATTCTTTTTAAAAAGTTAGTCTTCAAAATTTAATATTTAATGTAATATAGAATTTAATTTTAAATAAATAAATAGGGAGGAAGGGGAAAATTAATTAGCCAAAATATATGATTCGCCATCTTTAAAATTACAACACAAAGTTTTATTACCACTCAAAATTATATAATGTCCTGACAGCAGTATAATTATTCTGAAATTATTAATCAGTTACAGGGCAACTCTGCCCCAAGGGTGTGGCAATCTACAGAAAATTCAAGCTAACTTTCATAATGATGGCTTATTATATGAACTGAGTTTACCCACATTGCTAAATTACTCGAAGCTTTATTTTACAAGATATTTCTCCAAAGACTTGTAATTTAAGAGTCAATATAAAAACCAAGTCCTCCACCTACACCATGTCTGCACCCATCATAAAAGCAGAAAGCATCACCAGTAGCATGGTGGAAAGGAATGAGTCCTGAGGCCTGTGTTTTAGCTCTAGATTTACTTTTAATTACTGGTAATCAATCAGAGTGGCATGCCACTTATCTTTTTGAGCCTGGGTTTCTAAAAATTATCTTTTGTAAAAATCTAAAATTTTATGTTTAAGATGAAATGAAGAAGCTATGGGGGATTTTTGAAAGCCTGAGAACAAGAGCAATAATGTTGGTCAAGCAAGTAATTACTCCTAGCCACACAAGCAAATAAAGAGCAGGAAGGAAGAAACTAACAATGATCAAGAACCTGCTTTGTTGCCCTGCTGTGTGGCTCAGTGGTTGAGCATCGACCTATGAACCAGGAGGTCATGGTTCGATTCTCAGTTAGGGCACATGCCTGGTTTGAGGCTTGATCCACAGTAGGAGGCAAGAGGGAAGCAAAAATCAATGATTCTCTCTCATCACTGACCTTTCTCTCTCTCTCTCTCCCCCTCTCCCTTTCTCTCTAAAATCAACTAAAAAAATTTTTTAAAAAAAGAACCTGCTTTGTTGTAGACACTGTGTTAGGTAGTTTCACATACACTATTTCATTTACTCTTCACAATACTTTCATAAGGAAGAGACCATAACCCATTCTTAGCAGCAGATGAAGAATGAGACTCAAAGGTGAAATGACTTCCCAAGGACACAGAGCAGTAAGTGGCATAGCCAGGATTCAACTCCCACCTCTCTGATTCTTCTTACAGAAACATCAGTCCTGGCCTTTCCAATGGCTAACCTTCTCCAACATTATTTCTGTCTGATTTTATCTAGTCTCATAAATGTACACCAGCATGTGTTTTAAAAATGCTTCAAATATAAAAAGCACTTCCCAAAAAACACCCCCAAATGCGCCTCTGTCTAAATTTGCCTGGTTAAGCCTCACAAATGTTATTCATTCCTTCATTCTTCCAAAAGCCATTGTGAGGCAGGCCAGGTCCTCAGGGAGCCCACAGGACCGTGTGAGCACAAGGCACTGTGTGAGACTGTTAAGGTACAAAATATGTCTTCATTAGACTATGCTCAGCCTGGCAAGTGATGACATGAACAACGGATCCTCAGAATTCAGACAAGGTTCTCCAAGAGGTTCTGTGCAGGTATTAAAACCCAGGATGTGCTATGTACAGAACAACAGATCACAGTCTTGAGCTTGGGCATATAGCATATCTTTAGTAAGGCAGCACAGTGTAAATGTAAGCATAAATACCGTACCACCAAAATTTTCTAATCAACTCAAAATTACCACCATCATCATTATAAGTAAATTATTGTGGTGAGATGTTTAATTACTCCATTTTCCTGGGGGCAGTGGTAGTGTTTAGAAAATCATACTGCATGGATACATGAAACAGATCGACAACTGTCAGAGAGGAGGTGGAGAGGGGACTGTATGAAAGAAGGTGAAGGGATTAGCCAAAGAACATATAGGCATAACCCACAGACACGACAACAGTGTGGTGATGGCCAGAAATAATAGGGGGTGGGGGCTGTGTGGAGGCAGGCAAAGGGGGCGGGAATATGGGAACACCTGTAATAGTGTCAACAATTTTTAAAAAAGAAGGAAATCATACTGAGTATCATGATTCTATCAATTTCTTACTCTTACTATTTGACCCTCTACCACAAAATTATAAAGAGTACTACCTAATCAAATGTACATAACAAATGTATGATAATGTAAACAAAATAAAAGTACATTAATTCTTTTGCTGATGATGACCCCAAATACCAAGAATGCTGGGGGAAAGCATAAAGAACAATACAATCATGGC